TTCTATATATTATATATTCAAATTTTTTCAATGAATAAATATCAAGAATCTTTACATAGTTGCAACGTATCCGCCAAAATATTAGGTGCTGAAGGGGTAACTATAACCCATCTTTATAACCTGCCTCGTGGCTTAATGATTTATAATCATTCGAATAAATACAATATCTTTGAAACCATAATCTGTAGAATACTGAATTATCATAATTAATATTTGAACAGATACAAATAAACGACAGAAAAAAATAACAAAAATTGGGACCCAAAGAGGACATAAACCTATAGATTTCTCTAAAATTTGGAATATTGAAAAAAAAGCTATACATTTATGTGCACTACTTACATGATACATTGAATATTTTAGGGAGAGCTGGTCGTTAATGGTGGCGCTCAGAAAAATTAGTAGAACTTCGTCCAAATAGCGATTCACTTTTGGCATTTTGTGGGTCATCTTGATTCAGTTTGGTCCAGAAAAAGGACGTATCAGTGCTACGCGCCGCAAATGTCACTATTTGTACAAAATCACCCATTAATTATTTTGAGTGATGTATGATTCGACGATGTGTCAAGACGTCACCCGACGATGCGTCAAGACGTCACCCGACGATGCGTCAAGACGTCACCCGACGATGCGTCAAGACGTCACCCGACGATGTGTCAAGACGTCACCCGACGATGTGTCAAGACGTCACCCGACGACGCGTCAAGACGTCACCCGACGATGTCGGTCATGACGAAGCGACAATTAAAGGGCGTGTCGGCCTCGTCGGAAGATGCGGTGATAATGACGAGCTTCCTTGCTTGTTGTTGGCCTAACCTGGATCCTGCCCCACCCCCTCTTCTTCCCCTCCCCCTCCCTCCTTCCTCTTCTCCCCCACTCATTTAAAAAAATTATGTAAACAATCAATTTTAAAATCTATCATTGCACCACAATAGAGATTGAGTGATGATTATATGTTCAATAATTATAGACTCCATTAATAAAATACAAAACTTTAGGTGGGACAAATTAATCCACGAAAATTATAATTATAGCTTCTCAACGTCTTGCAGTTGTGACGGGAAATATTTTGTACGTTTTCGATGAGCGATAGGTTATTTACCGACCTACCGCGTATTCTGTTCAGCAAGACGGAGAGAAAGGAATACAAAATATATATTCTCAAGAGGAAGAGAAAAAAAAGAAGGAAGAAAAAAAAAAGACATTCGCTCCTGAAGGAAAGAAAGAAAGAAGAAAAAAAGACATTCCCTCGAGATTGTCTTACAAATCTTGCGCTCGAGGACGCGGTGTTGGGCGTTGCCTGCTTTCCTCCTGTGACGCGCGCCTCGCGAGCAGTTAGGTAGTCAGTGTGCTGTGGCACGTGGCGCGAGAAGTAGGATGTGTGTCTACCTCCCCACTTCGATGATGAGGAACAGTTCGCGTGCTGTAATTTCCCTTATTGAATGAAGTTCAGGTCTGTTGAACAGACAAGAGTGCTTTCCTTCACGCCCTAAGGATCCTCTCTCGTCAGTCAGGCTTCATGACTCACAATGTCATGGGAAAGTTCATTTATTTTGTAGTTTTTAAGTTTTGAACACATCTAATAAGCTGTTTCCATTTCGTTCTCCGGCAAAATCGCCAAAAATTAGTTTGATTGAACAGTATATACGAAAATCGAAAATATACTCTCTGTTTATGTCTGTTAGTTTTGGAAAAGGAAAGTTTTTCTCACTATGCATTTACTTGTAATGCAAAGTAATTTAATCGTTATTCTGGAACCTTGAAATAGAACTTTTCGCACTCATTAACAACCGAGCGCAGAGGTTATGTGAATAAAGATGATAAAACGTGCTGCTTTCACAGAATGTGCATGAAGTAGGACTCAGCGAGTCGTGTATAGTTAAGTATATACATATATTGCGGCATATAATTACCATAAACGCTATTTAAGATTTTAATTCTAAATTATACGGAGATTCCAGAACCTAAGATTAAAAAAAAACAAGTCGCGTTCCTTATTTTTTAAAAGCGCCCTGTTTCTACATCATATTTTAACTTAACGATTATTAGAATAAATAAGAAAATACTCAGATATACAGGGTGTCCCAGAAAAACGATACTCAACTTTGAATGGCTGTAACTCGAAAAGTAATCGAGTTAAAAAAATTTGAAAGGTCAGGATTTGTTCCCTATGTTTTTCTGCATCTCTCCACCAAAAATCAGACAGATCGATGTAGCCATAAGCGTTTGATAGAACTTTCAGTGACATGTGCTAAAATCGTGCTTGCGCAAAGTTTTAGTAAGATCATTTTGCATAATCATTACGCTNCAACGCCACGATAACAACGCCACGATAACAACGCCACGATAACAACGCCACGATAACAACGCCACGATAACAACGCCACGATAACAACGCCACGATAACAACGCCACGATAACAACGCCACGATAACAACGCCACGATAACAACGCCACGATAACAACGCCACGATAACAACGCCACGATAACAACGCCACGATAACAACGCCACGATAACAACGCCACGATAACAACGCCACGATAACAACGCCACGATAACAACGCCACGATAACAACGCCACGATAACAACGCCACGATAACAACGCCACGATAACAACGCCACGATAACAACGCCACGATAACAACGCCACGATAACAACGCCACGATAACAACGCCACGATAACAACGCCACGATAACAACGCCACGATAACAACGCCACGATAACAACGCCACGATAACAACGCCACGATAACAACGCCACGATAACAACGCCACGATAACAACGCCACGATAACAACGCCACGATAACAACGCCACGATAACAACGCCACGATAACAACGCCACGATAACAACGCCACGATAACAACGCCACGATAACAACGCCACGATAACAACGCCGCGATAACAACGCCACGATAACAACGCCACGATAACAACGCCGCGATAACAACGCCGCGATAACAACGTCACGATAACAACGCTCCGTGAAAGTGTAACTTGAAAAAAATCACGCTCGAGTTGCCGCGGTTGTGCAAACGTCGCGCGTCGCCGCCGACGAAAGTCGCGACGTAACAACGGCGCTTGTTCCTTGTCGGCAAAACCCCAACCCTAACCCCAAGAACCTCCAACCCTAACCCCGAGAACCCCCAACCCTAACCCCGAGAACCCCCGAGTCTAACCCTGATAAACCCCAAAAAATTTGCGCGATATCTCTCATTCCTAACCCCAAAAACCCAATTGTCCGACCAACCCCAATGATAATCCCTAACCTAACCCACATGCCCCTAATCCTAACCCCAATAACTTCTTATCTTAATTAACCCCGGCAACCCTCAACCCCTAATCCTATCGCCGACAACCCCTGACCCTAACCCCCACCAAACACTAACTCTGATCCAGCAACACTCAACCCTTACCCAAACCACCCTCAACCCTAACCCTGATAGACCCAACCCTAACCTTGTCATCCCCCAACCCTAACTGCAATAACCCCCAACCCTGATCCCAGTAACCCCCAGCCCTAACCCCGACACGCCCCTAACCCCGACAACCTCCGACTCTAACCCCGACAACCTCCATCCCTAACCCCGACACCCCCTAACCGCGACGCAGATAACCCCTGACCCTAACGAGCGACTTGACATTGACGCGTGACCTCGGCTGCGGGAGGTCAAATGGCGCTGGCATATAAAATATTATTCTTATATATACACGCCGAGAAAGGACTGGGACTTTGTCCAAATAGCGATGCATATTTGGCCCTCGTGTGGGTCATCCTGACCCAGTTTGGCCCGGCAATAGCGCGTATCAGTGCTACGGCCGCTCCCAGAATATATATCAATGTTATAGGTATAGGGCAGGGTATTATCTATTTTTTATTCAATATACATTATAATAATATAATATATACTTAGCTTCAATTATATTCCATTCTGGTCTGTTGCTAGTTTCAAATATAATTTTCACAGCTAGCTGGGTTTCAAACCCGCAACTCGCTGCGATCTTAACCACCCGGTAGACCCAAGCATTTAGTTGAAAAAATTTGTACCAAAAAAGCATTCATCATTGATTCTTAATTAATGATTACTTGCTAATAATATAATTTAGGTTGTTTGCTCTGCGTTCACAACTCTGGTAGGAATAGCATTAGGACCTCAATGCGGTGTTGTCGTCGCGCGGTCCCGTTACACGTAACGACGGCAACCTGCAAATGATTGGACAATTAAGGCCGATAGAGCCAATTAATAATGACGGACCAATTAATGCACCAATTAACGGTGCATGTACCGGCATTGTGGGAAGACTAGAGCAGTGGGGTGACTAGTGGACTAGTTACTTATGGGTTAGGTTAATTAGTGACCCAGTGAACCCTTGATTGCTTAGTCCAATTATTATCCGTCCAGTGTCCCCTCGTTTAGTCCGATTATCGGTCCAGTGTCCCCTCGTTTAGTCCAATTATCGGTCCAGTGTCCCCTCGTTTAGTCCAATTATCGGTCCAGTGTCCCGTCGTTTAGTCCAATTATCGGTCCAGTGTCCGGTCGTTTAGTCCAATTATCGGTCCAGTGTCCCGTCGTTTAGTCCAATTATCGGTCCAGTGTCCGGTCGTTTAGTCCGATTATATCGGTAATGCCTTTTTTATATCTCCCGCAGAAACCGTGATTTGACCTCCGCAGCGATCTATCGGTCTCTTCATGTGACAAATTCTTTAATAATAAACAATCATACGATTTATATAAATATTAATAGTTTTCCTGCATAAGATTATATAATCAATTTCAGCCTAGAGTATCTTCAACTTTTCCAAAATTGTCTTCAATATTAAAATACTTTCTTACCGATAACAAATACTAGAGTTACCGTTATAACTTCCTGGAACTGGAAGTAACTTATATTATAGTAACTTATAACAACTGGAAACTATTCACAACTATTGGAATACCCATAAGCGTTATTCATTAATTATTGGCAACTAGGTATTGATAACCATAAACAGTGTTACTGATTGGTGACAAAGAACCTTGGTAACAGTATAGTTACAAATCACGATAATAAATACAGAAAATGTCTTCACGGCTGTTCACAATAGCAGCCTTCATCATAGTAGGATTTTTTTATTTACAAGTAAGAGCCTATCCTCCAAAACCTCTAGGTTTCCAACGTCGTAACCTTTTCCTGGAACAAATAGCGAGTAATTCACAAGAACCTCTCACTTATGTCGATCCCCTTGGAGGGCAACTCCCCTTAGGGGGTCGAACGTCCCCGTCGGACTTGGAGGTATCACCAGGTTCGCCCTCATCCATCTCAAAACAAGCAGATTTGTTGTTATCTTTCGAGGGCAACAACCCTGGACATGAAAGTAACAACGGGGGTAACAACCCTGGACACGATGGACCCAAAGAGATATCCCTCATGAATAATTATTTCCATATGGGAGATCTCGGGTTAGTCCCTCTGGACCAATTGGCCGTAGAAAGCGGGTCGCATGTGGTCGGGGATGAAGCCCTCGTGGACAAAGGGGACATAGGGACGGATTTGGGTTTATCCCCAGAAACCCGGTTCCGACCCTACCAAAAGTCCATATTTTACGATCGTCCCGGCATCCACAGCGTAAATCACCGGAACCACAAACGGGGACCATACGAACCACACTTTTCGTTGGACATAGAATACTTCTCGATGGACAAAGACCTGTCCACGGACCGGGAGGACAAAGCCCAGTCCCGACAGAAGGACATAGTTTGTCCAGGTGATCTGCTGCCTTGTCGGTGCCGCCTACGAGGGGATGAAGTACACATCATGTGAGTGGATTGAGGCGATGTAGTGTGGATTTAGGCATGTTTTACTAGCGTAATGCCTTATTACAATGTGTGATAATGTAACAATAGCCTTAACAGCTTAATGTGAAAATGCATCTATGTGGCATCAGAGTAATACAAATAACACTAAGACAGCGCCAAAATGACACCCGAGTAACCCCAGAGTGTCGTCAGGTGTGAGGGAGCGGACGCCACAGAGCTACAGCGAGCTCTGCTTCGGCTCATGGGGTCAACTCTGCTCATCACAGAGCTTCATCTCGTTGCTAACTCTCTCGGTTCACTTCCTCCTCGGCTTTTCGGCTCACTGCAGGCAAGCGTCCGGTTCCTTGTGTGAGCAGAGTGACAGACAGCGTGTGCATGAAATTCAGGCATGGAATCTGATTCACAAAGATAAGACGTTTTTTACATTCCAATCGTGAAATTCCACCCTGCCTCTGGCCCACAAAGTTCAAGACGTTTTTTTTACATTTTAATAATAAAATATCACCATTTCTCCTGACCCACCAAGGTTGAGAAGCCGCTTTGAACATTTTAATAATAAAATTCCACCCAGTCGTTTAACCCCACAGGTGAAGAAGTTGTTCCTTATGCGGAACTCGCTGACTTCCGTATCCCGCAACTCCTTCGCTGGCTTGCAGTCTTCCCTGGAGCACCTCTACCTGTCGGAGCCGTTTCTCTCTGAGCTGCCCTTTGACACGCTTGATAATCTCCACGAGCTCAAGACCTTTGTGCTGGAAGATACCCAGGTCACCGAGATACCGCGGCTTTACGCCCACTCCAAGCTCGAGTACCTCAAGATAGACGGCGCCAGAGTCCAGTCCATATCTTCTGCTACATTCAAACTCATGACCAAGATGAAGAAAGTTCATGTGTCCCGATGCCTCATAAAGGTTAGTGTGTCTCCAGGTTCAGCCTCGAGTGTTTGTACATAATCATCAAATTTTGTAATCTTTGCCCGGCATGATGAGATTTAGTTAAAACATTGATTGATGTTTCCGTAGGTGTATCATACTTTTTAGAATTACCCACTGATTTGTGAGACAGGTTTAAACTATACGTATCGTTAGTTTGCCAAAATAAAGTTTAATAATAGTTGGTATCTCCGTTGCAGGAGATACCAGAAAGTGCTCTGGAAGGACTAGTCCACCTACGGGAGTTGAATATGTCCTTCAACGCCATCGAATGGATCCACCCCCGGGCTTTCCGGACTATGGAACTATTAGAACACATCAACCTTGCTGGCAACAAATTGACTGATGCCTCCATGGCGGTTCTAGCAGGCAGAGAAATCCGTTCTCTTAAAACCTTGGACTTGAGTGAGAATAACATTAAGGTTCTCAAAAAAGGCACTTTTGTTGACATGAAGAACGTAGAAGACATCAAACTCACCGGCAACAAACTAGAGAGCATCGACCCTGGGGCGTTTTCCAAGCTACCAAAATTAAAGTCCCTTGACCTCGCTAAAAATTTGTTGCAGGAGATTCATGCGGATGTCGTGGATGAATGTCCTAAGCTGGAGCGTCTGTTGGCATCTGCCAACAACATAAGCCATGTTTCTGAGCTGAAGTTCTTTACGAGAACTATGCCTAAGCTTGCGGTTTTGGATTTGGAGGATAACTCTTTGAACGCCAGAGCTCCGCAGACGTGGAGTGGACACCCAAACCTGCAAGTCTTGAAACTGAGTGCCAACGACATCACGCAACTCGAAAAGAAGACGTTTAGTGACTTGCCTAACCTAAGAGAACTTTATGTCAGTCACAACAGGATTCAAACCACTCCAAATCTCTGGAATCTGCCAAAGCTGTTGCTACTTGATATCTCCCATAACGACTTAGGGAATGTCAGTGCTCAGTTTCTCGCCGGTTTACCAAAGTTGACATCTCTTGATCTCGCCTTCAATATGGTTACTTCCATTGAGAAAGGAGCATTCCTTGAAGTAGCGTCCCTAAAATCACTAAACATGTCCTTCAACAAGATAACGGACTTCCCTCAAGAAGTATTCATAGGATTGAGGGACCTGTACTCGTTGGACATCAGCTATAACGAACTAACTGAGGTCAAAGATACATATCTACGTGGCTTGTCATCTTTAGAACATCTTCTGGCTTCCCACAACCGTATCAGCCGCGTGGACCCCTCAGCCTTTACCGACACTTCCCTTCTGAAGTACTTGGATCTCTCAACCAACATCCTCCAGGCCCTGCCAGCTGCTGCCTTGAAACGGCTTGGTTCTTTGAGAACCCTGATCGTGCGTCGCAATGCACTTAACGCTATTCATGACGGGGATTTTTCAAACCTGAAAATCGTCGAAACTCTTGACTTGTCCAAAAACCACATTCAAGCAATATCTGAGCTATCCTTCGCTTCTTTGGCAGTCGTACGCGATCTTGACATAAGCAGCAACTACATACAAAATTTGCCTCATGATCTTTTGGCTCCGTTAAAGCTGCTGGAACGGCTCAATATAAGTCATAACTTTTTGGCGACATTAGAACAAGGTTCGTTTTCGAACAATAAGCGTCTACGGATCTTGGACCTCACCAACAACTCCCTCACTCTTGTTGATGAAACCCTCACTGGTTTGTCTTCTCTTCAAGGACTCTTCTTAAGCCACAACTACATTGACAAACTTGCTAAAGGGACCTTCCAAAACTTACCAGCATTGAACGTTCTATATTTTGACAACAACGGCCTCCAGCAGTTTGAACCGGGGACCTTCGATGACCTCCGGTCTTTGGTACTTTTGGACTTGAGTTCCAACAACTTGGTGGAGTTGAACCAAGGATCATTCGGATCACTGATATCTCTCAAGGAACTCAGGTTGGACAACAATCAAATTACGATGGTGAAAGATGGTGCCTTCAAAGACCTGCCTTCCTTACAGAGCCTTGAGTTACAAGACAACCTCATTTCTTTCATTGGACATTCTTCCGTTAACGGCATGGCTTCCCTTAGGTTCCTCAACCTGAGCAAAAATGCCATCCAGGACATTCCCACCGAAATGTTTGAGCGGTTGTCCGCTCTCGACGTCCTCGACATCAGCTCGAATTTCATACTCGAAATCGACGATCACAGTTTTGCCAATCTCGAATGGCTTACCGTGCTCATGGTGAGTTGCCGTGCATACCTCATGGGTGAGTGTTCCAACCTTAGGAAGCAATAACAGGCATATGACCAGTCACTATCATAAGAGTATCCAGCATTAATTTATTTATCATTTATTATCTAGATTAACACACATTTCCGCGTAATTATACAGCCCTCCAGCCCTCTTGGTAAACACCTCAGGCCTACCGCTCCCTGTTACGTCCCCGACACCTCAGACTTCCAGCCCACAATTCCTACCCCAACGCCTAGACTCTCAAGGCCATAAACCCCAGCCTGCAGCCCTTCTGTTCCGCCCCAACCCCTCCTGATGTCACGACCTCTGTTCCGCTTTCAACACCCCAGACTTCTTCGCCCTCTGTTCCAGCCCCAGTCACCCTGTTCCGCTCCCTGTTTTGACCCCAACCCCCCCACACGTCACGACCCCCGACACTACAACATCTCAAGCCCATCGTTGCCCAATCTTGTAATTGCTCATATCTCTTTCAGCTGCACAACAACGACATCTGCCGCCTGTCCGAGGGATCGTTCGTCCGGCAGCGCCGTCTGCGGGTCCTCACTCTCAACGGCAACCAGCTGCGCCGGCTGCACCTGCAGGCGCTGGGCTCCGCCATCACGGGTCTCTCCCTTCTCGACATGAGCGGTAGACATCTAGTGATTACATTGAGGTGTAATGAAGATAACATAGAGATGTAATGATAATACTCTGAAGTAATAGTGATAATATAAGGGTGCAATGGTAAAAAAACGGTGTAATGATAATATATCGGAGTAATAAGTATGATATATTTTTAATGTACAGCCTCACGTGCTTTACGCGGTACTGGCTTGTGGCCGAGCTATGAAAAATAGTTAAGAATTTGTAACACCTCCAGCCAATCACTGATGGCTTTTCAAGACAAACTCACAAGTCCCAGATGATAAATCTGCCGGTGCGTTAACTACTTGAGCATTTTTTGATAATACGGCAACTGGCCTTAACTACGTCGTGTTCTGGCCTGCCTAACAAAGTTTCGCTCCCCAGACAACCCCTTCAGCTGCGATTGTCAACTGACGTGGTTGCGGGAGTACATGCAAGGGGAGGAGGAACGGCTGGTGCTGGAGTCTAGAGAGGGCGGTGCTCGCCTTGACCCCGCCTCATCCCGCTCCGAAGTCAGTAATGCTCGCCTTGGCTCCGCCTCCTCCCGCTCCGAAGTCAGTGATGCTCGCCTTGGCCCCGCCTCCTCCCACTCCGAAGTCAGTGATGCTCGCCTTGGCCCCGCCTCCTCCCACTCCGAAGTCAGTGATGCTCGCCTTGGCCCCGCCTCCTCCCACTCCGAAGTCAACGCGGCTCGCCTTGGCTCCGCTTCCTCCCACCCCGAAGGCGGCGACACCCGCCTTGGTCCCGCCTTTGAAGCGGCCCTGCTGGACAGGTCTCCTCTGACGAAGCTGCAGCTCTTGGCACTGCAGAGGTTTGGCCTCAGCGGTGCCCACTGGGCCAAAATGGCCAGAGCCGAGGCCACGAGGAGCAGGATGACCCTTGAGGCCCGCGATGCCCTGAGGTCTCGTGAGACAAGGGCCTACGCCTCCGAGAGGTGCGGGACCTTCTCCCTTATCTCGAAAATTGTGTTTTGAACGTAAAATTTTGATTTTAAACCAGGAAAAGTTCAATATTTTTTATCTCAAAATTTGTTCATAAGTCGACGTTTCTCCTCGAATTATCTGAGCATCGATGTCATCAGTAAAGTTTTTGGTGTTTGATACATAATCTACATAATCGAAATCCGCATTCCTGCCTTATGTCTCTTCCGATCTTCTTCATCTGCCCTTTTTCTTTCCCTCTCCTTTCATCATCCCCCTCTCTCTCCTCTCCCTTTCCCCTCCTCCCTCCCTCTCTTTCTCTCTTCTCCCGATACAACTCTACCACTTCCTCCCCTCTCCTCCCTCCGTTTTCTCTCCTCCCTCCCCCTCTTTTTTTTCTCCCCATACAACTCTCCCACTTCCTCCCCGCCTCTTCCCCTCTCTCCTTCTCCATCTCCCCATCTCCCCCTTTTTTCCTCCCCTCACCCCCCTCCTCCCCACAGGGTGCTGGCGCAGCTCCCCCTGACGGCGGTGCCGACGTGCGCAGGTCCTCCCCAGTACGCGGGCCTCCCCATCACCCAGGTGGGGGAATGTGGGGGAATGTCGCCCAATATCACCTCCCCAGCATCATGCTACATTAAACATGTCATATGTCATGTTATGCAAGTTATCTATACAGTCTTTATATGTCATTTGCTGATGATATGATGGATTTAATCCTAGCGCTTAGCATTAGGTCATTGTAATGACTGTTTCTTCGTTAAATCTTATATATAATTTTAAAAAATCGTTTGACAAACATCAGTGCCTTGTATTAAGATAAAGCAATGATGTTGATGTTACCCTCGCTTTCCCCTCAACTTTTCCCCACCCATTTCCCTTTTCCCTCTCCTTTCTTTTCCTCTCATCCCCTCCTCCTCCCTCACTACCGTTTCCCTGCCCCCCCCTCCTCCTTTTATCCCCTCTCTCTCTCCCTGCTCCCCATCTTCTCCTTCTCCCTCACTCCCCTCTCCCTCTCGCTGCCACCTCTCCTCCCCTCTATTGCCCATAACCCTAAATTACCATATTGATATATATCATTTGCTGATGATGCGATATAATTTAATTGATAAATGATAAATTGATAAATTTAATTGATAATTTTAATGCGATATAATCTTACATTATCAGTAACATTAATAATAATTATTAATAATATTTAATTAATGTTATATTAATAATTACAATAATAATCAATTATTCACTAACCCCCAGTGGGGGCATTGCCCCAGGGGGAATCGTACCTGGACCTGACCCACCCCATCCTGCTGACCCACTTGTCCCCCTCGGTGACCCCGCCCCCCGCCGCCCCCCTCACCACCACCTACATCATCATGTCCTCCACACCTAGTCACCTAGACCTGCAGGTGACGTCTAGGGTGACTCTGGTCACCTAGACCTACAGGTGATGTCTAGGGTGACTCTGGTCACCTAGCTAGACCTACAGGTGACGTCTAGGGTGACTCTGGTCACCTAGACTTGCAGGTGACGTCTAGGGTGACTCTAGTCACCTAGACCTGCAGGTGACGTCTAGGGTCTAGAAGACATTGGATACCTTGAGAAATCTAAGTGCCTAGAGTGATGCACCCAAAACAGCAACCTTGTCCAAAGCTGTAGTGCCAGGGTAACTAGACTAAAGTACAGCACAAAACTTGATAAACTTTAATAAGTTTAAATATAAAAACATCTTTCTTTCATCATCATTCCTTAAATTCTGAATGTACGGCAACATTTATTTAAATTATGCTGGTTTGGTGTAACTCACCAAATTTTCATGAATTTATCAGCGATAAATTTCTGAAACGAATTTACATAATTTTCGCCAGACAAATTTGTTGTGTTGCCATGTTGCCAGACAAATTGTTTGTGTTGCCAGGTGACACAACAAGTGACACAGAAGTTGGCATCAACCCTCCCCAACCCTGACTACAACCTCATCACTGGGGACACTCCTACCATCTACGCTGGCAATCCTTCCCCAGATCCCGATCCTCCTCAAGAGTCATCATCACTTTTCCCAGGTCTTCCTTCACTCCCGTCAATCCTACAAACAATTGGCAGCATCTCCAACCTTAAGCTTCCCAACATTGGACTCAGTATGAACTGGGCAAAGTTACCAGTGGGAAGGATCGCTTCCCCGGACCCTTTGTCGTCAAAGTTTGGGGTAGCTGCCTCAGGGGTTGAAAGGAAAAACTCGAATTCTAAACCCCCACTTTGGATCGAAGGGCCCAACGGAACTATACTGAATCCTATGTTTGATTTGCAGCAACCACTTGTTCCGAGTCTCGAGAATCCCAAAAAGATATACCCTAACGACCTGAATGTTTCGCACTCTTCTAATTCTGCACTGGATTCGTTTGCTTCGCCTTCGATTTCTTTCCATACTGCCGAGGAAGGAAGATCCTCGCAATCCATAATTAAATTCCCTGAAGATCGATCAAGAAACTCTGGGTTCCTCAAAGGACCGAATCCTGATAATTTCCGATTTCCAGATGATCCTCCCCGATCTGATGGTAGGGCTCAGTCGGGGTTTTCGTTCCCATCTAACGGAGGTTTCCCTCACAGACAGGCGAATGACCGAAGGAAGGCAACACCTCCTTCTCTCACCCGGCAACATCCTCTTCCTTCAGTCGTCAATGTAGGACCAGGTATGAATGCTGGGCGCCCGTTTCTACCTGGACTTGCGGGTAACCAACCAAACATGCGGTCTCGACCGTCCCACATTATTAAAAGCAGGCCTGGTCTTGCGTCCGTTACGAGAGTCGTAGAGGAAGACACAAGAACTCAAGGACAAACCCGCAGTCAACCGCAGTGGTCAACCCCAGAAGTAATCAATCCGCTATCCGGGGTGTCACTTTACCAACCACTGGACCAATTCATGCCCTACCAACCTCCTCGTACTGACAATCCAATCAGAGAAATTCCACCACCTTTCAATCATGGTCCGCACATACCTGGATTGGTACCTCCTAAAATTGCGAATGTTACCAGGAACTCCAACCGACTGCATGAGCAACATGAGAATTCTGAGATCCTTACCTACTTGGACCCGACGAATCTGATGGAGAACAACCCTCTAGAAGTTGTCCCGTTTGTACCTGAGTTTGAAGGTAAACTTTCCTCAGATACTTCTGAAGTCAGCACGGAGTCTTCTACAACCGTCGTCTCAACGACCGTGTTCTTCCCTGACCATGACCAAGCATTACGTCTCAGATCTACCCCATCTCTTGATGTGCCCGGGTTCGCTGCCTCCACCGTGTCGTCTCAGTTGGTAGACAGCATTCCTCAGAAGCCTCTGAAAATTCTGCAGATCAACGACTCATATAAAAATGTGAGCGCTTCTTCTTTTCCAGTTGGCATAAGCGATGACAAACCCCACAGTATTGACGACATTCTTGACGTCCTCTATGGCTTGGAAGATGGTGACGCGCTAGACCGACCTCACACTCCTGTACCGTTTCCTCACAACGACTCGTTGAGGCTACCTCATAATCTTACCAACGAAGAACTTCCCCTTGGCTTAGGGCCCCCGCCGAGTATCCGCATCGCAACAGAACCAACACACGAACAAAGTTCATTTTCTTCGCCAACTCTACCAAACCCGGCGTATCCCAGTGGGTTGTCACACCCGATCTTCGAGCCGGTGGACAGCACTAAGTCTCCTCTCCCTCTAGATCAATTACCTCCTCGCCGTGAGAACAGTCACATCGATACAACGGAATACTCCGTCGCATCTACGACATTCAGCCAACGACCACCCACGGTTTACGGCACGTTCAGGAATGAACCAACTCCAGTGCCGATCTCAGAATCGCTAGGTGATCAGGATGACTTTGTAGAGCCACAATTGGGGCTGGGAGTATCGGTCATGCATGGAAAGCCTTCGCCTGAGAAAAAACACCAACTTCACCTGCAGGCTGCCGATGCGGCTGCTCAAATACCTGAAAATGACCACTTGGTTCAGATTTCTCCGGATCTCGGGCCTGTGAACATCCTTGGTGAAGGTCCTGATTTGGATACCAGCAGTCCTGTAACGAGATATGCGTTCGGTATCACGAATGAAGATCCAAAGAAAATCATACGTACTTACGGTCTCGATGCTGACCGAATTAGAGACCATTCACTCTATCCGATTGACGACATTGCGTTATTGAAAGCGCTGCGATACGGCAGTGGTCCTCTGAACTCTGCTGGTGGACTAATACCTCCTCCTGCTTCCGAAAATCCACCCGTCGCCCAAACAACAACTCCTTACCAGGACTCGTTCTACGATTATCAGGAGACTCTGGAAGAACCGATTGCCAGTTTTCAACCTTCAGGCGATCCATTTTCCAATTCGGATTTTAGTTCAACTAGATCTCGAGAACCACAGGACTTTGTTGACTATAGAGAAGATTACGATGTACCAGAAGCTCCTCAGAGTCATGTTTTCTCTAGCTCAGTGGACAAAGTGTCTCCTCCTCCGAGGTACAGTGGAGGAGGACCCGACACTATATTTCGGGAAGATTTTGTTCCCTCCCTCAGCCCTTCTATGGCTGTACCTCCACCGCAAGGATTAGACAAGATAGGTGATCCTCACATCGCGCTGCGGCAACAACACCCTTTGAGTGAACATGAGGAGCCTAAGGCAGGTCCTCTGCAGGAGGATGTCGTGAGGCAAGGCACCTTAGAAAAAGACAGTAAAGAAGGACCCTTGCGCGACAACGTTGACTGGTACTACGAGAACTACTTCCGAGACTACAGCAACTCTACGAACGTACCCATAGGAAGAAACGCTGTTGGTAGTGGTTCTGTCACAACCACTAGTTCAGCGTCCATCGGGTTTATTCTGGCTTTTTTGACAGCTATTTTTATTTAATTCTGAATCTGTGAGCTTGTTAGCTACCAAGGAATTGACTATGTTAACGACCAACAGGTCAACTACCAAGCCTGGTACCAATGTATATCAACTGCAAAAGATTTAATCTACCAAGTTGATTACCAAAGAGGTACTCATGCTCGTCAACTACCACACCTCCTGTACCAAAGCACGTAGACTACCTACTCTACATGTACCTATGCATGTCAAGTACCAAAAAATTCATTGATTATTTTTAATACCAAAGAAGCGCCTATTCATGTTAATTACCAAAGAACTTATGCAATTAAAGTGTTTATGTAAATAGAATTTCAGTGGAGCGTCTAGAATTTATTGTGAAATTTAAGTAAGGGCTCGAGCAAACATTTGTCGTTAGTGAAACATGCACCAAAGTCTTGAATACCTCGAGAAAAGTCAAGTTTAGTTCTAAATTTCCCCTAGAAATATGAAGGTAAAAATATCTCCTGTGACAGAAGGGTTCGTTCCGTTCAAAAACATGACCCCTGCCGGGGTTTCGGTCTACGAACGGAACCCTGTCCCGTGTTTCGGTCTATGAACGGAACCCTGTCCCGTGTTTCGGTCTATGAACGGAACCCCTGCCACGTGTTTCGGTCTACAAACAGAACCCATGCCACGTGTTTCGCTCTACGACCAGAACCCCTGCCCCTTGTTTCGGTCTACGAACGGAACCCCTGCCCCGTGTTTCGGTCTACGAACGGAACCCCTGCCCAGTGTTTCGGTCTATGAACGGAACCCCTGCCCGGTGTTTAGAAGAAATGTACATTTTTCGTTTTTATGACCCATTATTTGAAGGATTTTTTCAAAACTAAGAATATAGAAGCGAAAAAATACCACAATTTTTTTATATTTATCAAAAATTTTTACTGTGAACGCCCCATATCATAAACGTAGTTACTTCATAGCCCAGCAGTATTTTATTCATGTGTACGGTTTACGATCCTGTTTATACGTCTACTTGTAAATGAATTTTTCTATTTTTAAAACGTGCGAGATTTTACGTACATAAAACCTCAGAAGTTTCACAATCGTTTTCTTCGTCCCAATTTCTAATTTAATATTAGTTTTTAGCTTAGATGTTGAAGTATTCTTCAATTTCAGAACGTTTAAACAGACTTTCACGTGCATATTAAAAAACTACCAACAGGATTAATTTGGAATTCTCATTAGAATTTCAATATTCACACTATTGGCTAGATTGAAATTGTTGATTATCAAGCAAACGCAAGTTCATCATCAACTTTTTCACTGCCTGTGGATTAAATTCCTATGTTATGGTAATGGTGGAAGCAATGTCTGAAGAAAGGAACTTCTCAATGAAAAGCAATACCGAGATGAACTGAATTTGTATTTGACGCCAAAAAAAGCTCTTTCCTGAGGGTAATTTAACACTTGATTTACCTTGAAGTAAGATGGACAATTTATTAATTTTTTAATGGATACCAGACTTCTTTTAAGGCCCAAATTCTTAAACGAATAAGCCTGTTGAACTCATTTACTTTAGTTGCTTCAAGTTACAATAAGATTGAATGATAAATATATTATCAGAACTATAAGCGCAGCACAACTGCTTTTTAATTAAGAGAAATGAGACTTGAAAACGACGGATATTTAATTAAGATAACATTAACATCAATGCAATGTACTGCACTTGTATCAGCTTGCATCGCTGCCCACAAAGTTTGCCTGGACTCCAAAGACCATCTGGGGTCTCTGTGGCGTCTCTGCCAGAGTCTCCGCATGTTCTGGGCCGTACACAACCAGAGACGTGATGCCCGAGAGCATCGTCACGGCGACGATGTAGTGGAAGGGCAAGCCTGGGTACCCAGTGATGCCCCGGGGCACCCCTGGGCACCGCCACGAGATTATGGGCACCCCCGAGTAGCTGTAAACTTTGATGTCTCCACTCAACGCGTCTGCCATGACAAAGTTCCCTGCGCTGTCTATGTAGAAGTCGGATATTTGAACAACTTGGTCGTTGTGTGTTGCTTCGTGTCCATGCGATTCTTCGGTTGAAGGTGGATGGTGGGCGAAGTACTTCTCTAAGTTCCCTGTTCTGCAACTTACCCCTGGGCACCGCCACGAGGTTATGGGCACCCCCGAGTAGCTGTAAACTTTGATATCTCCACTCAACGCGTCTGCCATGACAAAGTTCCCTGCGCTGTCTATGTAGAAGTCGGATATTTGAACAGCTTGGTCGTTGTGTGTTGCTTCGTGTCCATGCGATTCTTCGGTTGAAGGTGGATGGTGGGCGAAGTACTTCTCAAAGATCCCTGTTCTGCAATTTTTGATGGTCATTTCTCCAGTACTTGGTTGAACCACGAAAATTTCATCCACGAAACCTGTTTTGACGGCCGGTGCTTGCACGATTCTGCATTCAGGCGCGCGATTGTTGGAAACAAGCGTCATCTGCTTGAACTCCGGACACATTAGGAAGACAAGGCCACAAGCGTCACCGACCACGTAAGTGTTTTGTGAGTTCACCGCAATGGTGACAGGTTGGATTTCATGAAAATTTCCAGACGACTCTCGGATCGGGAAACCCGTGACAGAGAACACCTGTAGTCGTCTGTTCCCCGTGTCACAGACCACCAGGTTCCCGTGACGGTCGATCGCAATCCCGGTAGGAGAATCCAACTCCCCGAATCCGCTACCGCGCTTCGAGATGATCCCCTGAACGTCGAACATCGAGTTCAGAACCTTGACGTCTCCCGCCCTGGTGTCTGTAATATAGATCACCTCTTCCCCGTCGCTGCAAAGCCCGCCGGGTTGTTGGAGTATGGGGAAGTTTATGTTCGTGATGGCGGTTATAGCTTGAGCAAAGACATCGGCCGGCTCGACATGAACGACCAACGGACTTCCCGGCAGCATAACGCCGTTGATCCTAACATTTATGCTGTGTGGGGTACACTGAGTGAAGCAATAGCTGATCACAACTGTGCCGTTAACGTAGCTGTTGGTGAACACTGCGACAGCCTCGTCAGACTGTGCGCCTCTGAAGGCCTTTACACTCAGAAGGTAACTCCCAGGCTTACATGGACTTCCATGCCGGTTGTTCACATGCAGGAAGAACTTAGTTTCCCTTCCTGCAACAGCCTTACAGCTGCCAGGCCCTACGACACGGCACTGGCTTACGTCGGGGGCGTCTTCTGAATTACCGTCTGCGAAAGTCACGTCAAATTTTTCAGGTTGTTCCTCAGCGACCAGATATAGCAGAGCGTTCCACATTGCTTCTATTTCCTGTTTATATGTGCTCATTGGAGCTGAGCAGAAGCTAACGAGGAACTTATTGACTGTAAGAAGATAACAGTTCCAATTGAACGTGACTGCGGCAGGGAGTTGTGAGGAAGGCAGGGCTTGGAACAGCCGTTGCTGATGAGGCGTCGAGAAGACCAAAGGCATTTCGGGATTAAGTTCCATGACCTCATCGATGACATCCTGGATGAATTCGTTGACGAAATTAATAATTTCGTGCGTGTTTCGTTGGAAGTCTTGCACGTCGCAGTAGACATGAGTGCCAATGCCGTCCAGCCTGCATGCCGTACAAACTTTAATGTTGTGACTGCGACAAAAGCCGTTCGTAATTTTCAGACGATGCACGGGACATTCGTCGGTAACTTGGTTGGGGTTCAAGCAGCTGTGGCGGTCCTGACACCGGATGCACACATCGTATCTGCAGCCCATGCAGTTGTTGACGTCAGCATTTGATGAACAAACAATGCAACGAGTTGAACTATTAATATCGCCCGTGGTCAGCCTCGCGGCCACATGATTGTGGTCAGGATTGTCCGCCATGTGGTCAACATGTCCTTCGAGATCCGACATATCCACATCAGGATAGTAATGTTGATCCTGCCGCTGCTCCTGCCGTGCAGGATTTATTTCATTCCTGCAGCCATACTCCACAGGAGCGCCGGCCATAACACTGCCCGTCCGAGAGTCCCAAGGATCAATAGGATACGAGCTTCGTGTGTAGGACCGTAGGATACGAGCACGTGTGTGCGGGTAGGAAGTATCGTAACGACACGTAGGACACGTGTGCGTGTCACCACAAGCTCCACGTGTATCGTGTTCGTTAATCTCACGGAATATTAAAGGGCTGTTCCCTCGGGGGGAAACTTGTCCCTCTGAAGACTCGGTCTCCCACTGATAATCAGCGCCTGAACCTGCGCCTGAGGACTCATCAGCTGAGTGCGTAACTGGTGACTCGTCGTAGCCTTCGTGACGGCGTGACTCACTTATGGCGGCATGACTCACTTCGTGACGGCGTGACTCATTTATGGCTAAGGAACGAAGGTTCGTGTCGAGAATATCAATAAACTCATCAGAGTTTGGGACATTTTCGTGGTATTTTTCTTGGTGCAGAGGATCGTCCGCTTCGCTTCTCAGAACTTCCGCGCCTGCGGACGGCGGCCGCCGCGGGGCGCCTGAGGGCCGCGGCTTGGGGCGGCGGGGGGACGTCGGGGGGCTGCCCGCCCTCGGGGATACGTCCATGGCTGGGGAAGATAAAAGATAAGATAATTTTATATATGAATACAATCACAATAGCGAACAAATAATAGACTTAATATTTATTGTATAGATGGTATATGTTGTTTCTTTACATGTGTTCAATTTTAATAAATTACTGGAACTAAACGGTTGTTGTTTAACTGTTTTTAACAGTGACGTCACAAGCGAACAACAAACTACATCCGCTTAAATGAGCTTCTCGTGAGTCAACCTTATACTAGTTCATCCATGGGCTTAACCTGGGCATAATATATTAAGAGAGGAATGGCTGATGACAGTACAGGTGTAACAGGGACCGAATGGCTGATGACAGTACAGGTGTAACAGGGACAGAATGGCTGATGACAGTACAGGTGTAACAGGGACAGAATGGCTGATGACAGTACAGGTGTAACAGGGACAGAATGGCTGATGACAGTACAGATGTAACAGGGACAGTAGAGGTGAGGACATAATTGGGCAATAGAGGTGGGGACATAATGGGGCAGTAGAGGTGGGGACATAATGGGACAGTAGAGGTGGAATGGAAGAAGATGTTATATTTGTTTTATGTGTGAGAGGTGAGAGGGAAACTGTGGAGCATCTGATGATGTAGCGTGATCATATGAAAGGGAGAGACTGGACATGATGAGAGTGATGCTGGATGAGAGTGATGAGGGTGATGGTGTGATGTATGAGCGAATGTATGAGTCTGTGTGATGTATGAGAGTATGTCAACGGGGGTGACTGCTGCTATGACTGAGTGTGAAAAGCGATATTTGGAGAGTGCGTGGGCCGTGGAGAGTGAGGGAGAGGAGGAGGATGGGGAGAATGGAGGCCGGGGGGTGTAAGGAAACAAGCAATACTAAAATAACAATAACTGTAGCAATAAGAATTTGATAGGACTATTGGGACACTAGTTATTATTCGGGGCCTAGGAGATACCACATCTAATATGAATTTTAAATACCGCAGTGCAATAAATGGGACGAAGCAATAATACACTAAAATCTCCTCCAAGATAACCGATGTAACAAAGGCCTGACTTCTGAATACCCTTTTTATTCTCCACGCCCCAAATCCAAATCCTAAACTCGTAGAAAATGGGATGTAATATTTAGTTCGATAAACGTAGCAAAATAATTGTAATTGTTAGCGCCTAAATTCTCATAGAAAACGCGTGATCAACGTAAAAAAACTATATATTTAGGGTAAACTGAAGTGTTTCTTCACACGTGAGACCAACAACATTGAGCCATGCAAACCGTGTATGTCTTAGCATTGACTATGCCCAAATATGAGCGTTACCTAACTATTAAATTAAATGTGCGTGTTACAGAAGCACAAGAAGATTATAAATAATGATGATATGCTTTTAATAATTACTTTTTGAATACAACACTTCTAAAGCGGCCAGTGTCTCCGATATTGAACACGTGTGATAAATTTCTAATTTTATTTATGTATATAAATAAAATATTTTTTTCTATTTTTTTGAAATACAGAAAATTAAAAAAAAATTTAAAATATTTATTCTGTCAATTGATTCAAGCATTGTCTCAAACTTTACGCAAGTGTGCAAAATTTCAGATGGATAGAACAGGTAAAAGTGTGTTAAATATCGCTTATAACATTTGTGGCCGACAAACAAAGAAACAACAAGAAGTGAAGTTAAAGAGAAGTGTTGTAAACAAGCAGAAGTTGTGACGACATGACTTCTTTTTGCTGTTTTATGGAAACAAAAAACTGTCATGTTTTGTAGCAGTGGAAGTGATTATACCATTCTGTACAAGCATCACCAGCGTTCAGTATCAGCACCACCAGCGTTCTGTATCAGCACCACCAGCGTTCAGTATCATTCTGGTCACCTAGACCTACAGGTGATGTCTAGGGTGACTCTGGTCACCTAGACCTACAGGTGATGTCTAGGGTGACTCTGGTCACCTATACCTGCAGGTGATGTCTAAAGCCCGGGTTACATAGGATAACTTGAGAAATCTAAGTAACCTAGAGAGACGCAGCCAAAACAGCAACCTTGTCCAAATTGTAATGACTACAAAACTTAATAAACTTTAATAAGTATAAAAATCTTTCTTTCGTCATCGAAACATCTACCGTTTGAATGTTTTCTGAGCAGCCAACATCGCAGTCGTGATGCGACTGATGTTTTAGCGTTACTACGTGATGGTCAACGTTGATGTGATGATTTGAATACACGTCAAATGTATGTGTTGATATACGTTGAAACCTTGCTGGTTTCTTGTTAAATACCTAATTTTAGTGAATTGATCAGAGATACATTTTTGCATTTAATTTACCTAATTTTTGACGAACAAATTTTTGGTGTTGCCAGGTCACACAACAAGTGACACAGAAGTTGGCATCAACCCTCCCCAACCCTGACTACAACCTCATCACTGGGGACACTCCTACCATCTACGC